CGGGAAGGTGGGGTTTCGGGGGGCGGTGGTCGAGGACGGTGGGGAAGGGTCTCCGGGGCACACTGGGACTCCCGGGGGCGGACGTGACTCGGCGCTGGGCGGGCGGGGGCAGGGAAGGCTTTCCAGCAGGAAAACGACGCGGCAGGCGGCGTCTCGGCGGCCCGCGGACAGAAAGGCCGGGGCGGGGACTCGCCTCAGCGCCATTTTCTACACAGAAATGGACGCGAAGCCCGGCCGCCGGCGAAGCGAGCAGGGTCGGAACGTCTTAGGGCCGCGCGGGGATCTTCGAGGGAGGGAAAGGAGAGCGTGTGGAAAACGGGGACGGTAAAAAGCAGATTTAAACCGAAAAGTCGGAAACTCACTCACCGCTGTGTGACCTTCCCTCCACGCAATTCACTGCCGGGTTTGTAGGAAAGTGCGCAGGCGCGCGGGGCTTGGAGACGGCAGGCGGGGCCTTGCGTGGGCGGGATCGGGGCGGGGCCTGAGCGCCCTCCTCCCCTCCCCTCCCCAAAGGCCTCGGTGTGTCTGCGACTGGAACCGTTTGAATTACGCCTGTGTCCAGTGAGACAGGGCTGCCCGCTGACTATGCTTTGTTTTCCAGAAAGCAAGAGACTTTCATACTGCTCTCTCAGCAATTGATTGTTGGTGTTAGGTGCCCTCCAGTCGGTTCCGACTCATAGCGACCCTGTGCATAACAGAACAAAACACTGTGTGGTCTGCTCCAACCTCATAATTGTTAGGTTTCAGCGAATTTCTGCTGCCACCGCATCAATCCATCTTGTTGGAGGAGGGGCAGGGTGTCTTTCTCATTTTCGCTGACCCTTCATTTTACCAAGGACTGGAGCAAGTAAAACAAGAACGAGAAACACATGGATATTCAAGTATCATTGAATTCCTTGATCTCTTAATGGAATATTACATAAGTAACTGCAACGTACATATTGTTCTCTTTTTTTTAAACACCCCCCCTTGCAGTCCTGAATAGAAATGAGACATAGCTGAAGGCCACCAGGTGATTGATATAAAAACACGTCCTAAGCAGTTTTTCTCACCATCGAAAATTCTAGAAAAACACATTTGAACGACTACGTAATATTTCAAAGAGCCCTGGCGGCCCTGTCGAATAATCACTGGACTGTTAACCGTTAATGTGGGCAGCTCAAACCAAACAGCCATTCCGCAGGAGAAAGCTGCTTCTTTGTTCTCTCAAAAAGATTTATAGGCTGAGAAACCCTATACAGAGGCACTATGAGTCCGGCATCTACTCAACAGTGAGCTTTGTTTTTTGGATGTAATATTCCATTACATGTATGCCCATAAAATAAAAATACTTTTATTGGAAGACATTTAAGTGGTTTCCAGTTTTCTTTGTTAACTTGGGGAAAAAATACTACATTGAATGTTTATAACTTCTGGGCTTTGCTGCATTGCTTAATATATTTGTGGCACTGCGGGATAATCCACTGGACAGAAAGGTGAGTTTGAATCTCTCCGTCAGCAGTTTGAACTCACCAGCCACTCCTCAGAAACCCTATACAGGGTCATTGTGAGTCCGCATCAACTCCACAGCACTTAACAACAACAATCTATTTTTTTATTGCTGATAATATACATAGCAATAAGCATACCGGAATACTTAATTGTGTCCATGAGGAACTTGTACAAAGACCAAGAGGCAGTTGTTCAAACATAGCAAGGGAACACCAAATGGTTTAAAATTAGGAAAGTGTGCGCCAAGGTTTATCTATGCTGAGAAAATAATCAGAGAAACTGGGTTATATGAATAAAACTGTGGCATCAGTATTGGAGGAAGACTCATTAACAACCTGCAATATGCAGATGATACAACCTTGCTTGCTGAAAGCGAAAAGGGCTTAAAATGCTTACTGATGAAGAGCAAAGACCATGATCTTCATACAGGTTGCACCTCAATATAAAGAAAACAAAAATCCTTACCACTGGACCAATAAACAACATTCATATAAATAGAGAAAAGACTGAAGTTGTCAAAGACTTCATTTTGCTCGGATCAACCATCAACACTCATGGAAGCAGCAGTCAAGAAATCAAGCAGCATTTAGGAGTCCTGGTGTGGCGCTGTGGGTTAATGTGCAGGACTGCAAAGTCCGTTTGAACTGCAAGGTCAGAGGTTCAAGCTCACCAGCTGCTCCTCAGAAACCCTATACAGGTTTACTATGGTTCAGAACAGACCTGATGGAACTTAACAACAACTAATTAGGCATATCTGCTGCACAAGACCTCTTTAAAGTGTTGAAGAGTAAAGATGTCAGTTTGAAAACTAAGGTGCTCCTGACCTAGTCATGGTATTTTCAGTAACCTCATAATGCATGTGAAAGCTAGACAGTGAATAAGGAAGACTGTAGAAAAACTGATGCATTTGAATTATGGTGGTGGAGGAGAATATTAAAACTACTATGGACCGCCAAAAGAACAAACCAATTTGTGTTGGAAGAAATACAGCCAGAGTGTTTCTTGGAAGCCAGAATGGCCAGACTTCATCTCTCATACTTCAGACATGATAGCAGGAGGGACCAGTCCCTGAGGAAGGATATCATTGTTTCATTCTGTTGTGCATAGGATCACTGTGAGTTGGGACGGACATAATGGCACCTAACAACAACAATAGCACCAACATACACAGTCAGACATATACAAATCTAACAGTTTCTATTTGTACAACTCAGTGGCATACTTTAAATTGTATAACCATTCTCACCCTCATTTTCTGACTTGTTTCTCTCCTAATGTAAACTCAAGACCCCTAAGGTTGCTATCTAATATTGTAAGTTGCTATTGTCAATTTCATCCCACATAGATGGTTCTTAAAAGAGCCTAATGCTCAAGGCATTATAATTTTTATTAATTATCATTTAAATAATTTCATCATTTTAAAAAATAGTTAAGCTACTAATATCGTTTGGAGTCCTGGTATGGCACTGCAGGATAAGCACTTGACCACCAGGGTGGTTTGAACCTCAAGGTGGGTGGTTCAAGCTCAACTTGGAAACTCTATACAGGATTGCTATGGGTCGTAACTGACTCTGTGGCACTTAACAACAACAACTCATATTGTTCAGCTTTATGGTGACTTCAGGGGATATTTTTGGTGTAAGATTCAAAAATGATCTCAGAGCGACCGTTTCAGAAGTTCATCCAGTTTCCATGCTCTAGAAAAATTGGAGTCCATGTGAATTTGAAATTCTGTCTTGCATTTACCCCCTTTGATTATTTTAAGTTAATGTTTCAGACAATCTAAGGTAAAAGATTACGTTGTGGGGGCCACTGTTGTCAGATGTAAAGAATGAAAATATTATGAGCTACATTAAAAACTGAGAGCCAGAACTGGAGTAAGGCAAAACCCTATCATAGAAGGAATACCAAACATTTCCCACTAAAACATATCATAAGGAGAGGGGCTGTGTGCTGAGGACCGGGGGGAAGCGGGGGTGGCTTGTAGTGTATACCCTTTGGTTGGTTGATGATGCATGGAGGGGATTGTAACCATGGCAATGAAATGATACACAATAGGATGAATGTAAAGCTAATGTTCTCCCATGTAAACTATCACATAATTCATAATAAAACATTTAAAAAAAAAAAAAATAGAAGCAGATGAAATCCAGGAATGTATAAGTTAGGTAATACATCATACCCAAGTGGAGTTTATCCTGGAAATGTAAAACTGGTTTCAATTTATGGGAAAACAAATGAACAATATTCATAATGAAATTGGTGGTGGTGGTGGTTATGGGCCATGGAGTCGGGTCCGACTCGTAGCGGCCCTGTATAAGGTTTCCAAGGCTGTAAATCTTTATGGGAGCAGAAAGCCTCATCTTTCTCCCGCAGAACAGCAGGTAGTTTCGAACTGTTGACCTTGCGGTTTGTAGCCCAATTCAAGGAGAAATCAAAAGAAACAAAACCAGATTATGATCGCAAAGGACAAAAGAAAAAATAAAATAAAAACCCCAAGATCCATTCATTAAAAACAAAACAGTAAAACCTGTCAGTGTAGGAATAGTGATACAGAGAATCTGAAATAAAACCAACAGAAACACACGTACTGGTAAAGACTTCATGCTTTCCCCTTAGGACTCGGATGAAGCAAGGTTGTCCGCTCTCCTTGCCCTCATTTGAGTTACGTTGACTAAGTTTTCCAAAATGACACTGAAGAGATTTGGCATCAACTCAAGCTCGGACTTAGTGGGATACAGTTGTTCCCATAAATAATATGAAAGTCTAAAGGCTCACGTGATACACGTCGCATCCAGTGAAAATGTGGTTTTAATCTGCAGCCAGCATTGAGCCCAAGGCGCTGGGGCTCCCAATGTTGTTAGGAAGTGCCGTCGAGTCGGTTCTGACCCATAGCGACCCTGTGTAGGGTTTCTGAGGAGCAGCTGGTGAGCTTGAACCGCCAACCTTGCAGTTCAAACGGCTTTGCAGTCTGGCGCATTAACCCACAGAGCCACACCAGGACTCCGGGGCTCACATTACTCACGTGCACACACTCTCTGTGCTTTTTCCATGTTTAATTGCCATTGCTGTATGTACTTTTTTTTTTGTCATAAAAGTGTCTTAAAAAAACTCTTTGCTCTAATCCTCCAAATTTATCACCGAATACATTGGTTTAAATGATGTGGAAAATAAATCAAGGACATTTTGCTAAAACATATAAAAAAGAACTTTGCAAAAGTTGAAAACCAAGCAATGTAAGGCTGGCTTATTACCATATCACAAAGTGACATTTTTTAGCCTTTAAAAAATTGCTCTTGTAGTAAAAGCACTTAATCGTATTTATTATCTGGTAGTAATCCTGATGTGGCGCTGTGGGATAAATGCTGGACTGTGAATTACAACTTCAGCAGTTCAAACCCACCAGTTGCTCCTCTGAAACCCTATACAGGGTCGTCATGCGTGGGAACCGACTCAACAGCACTTATTAACAACATTGACAAACATTTTGACACATTAATTCTCAAGAAACTCTTGGAAACACGTTTCAAATGCTGTACACAGTACTTCACAATCTGGTTCAGCAATCATCACTCACAATGAACCTTATGTGTACATTATGTAAGGGCCAAGGAGCTCTGGTAGCATTGCGGTTACGAATCGGGCTGCTAATCGGTCAGCAGTTCGAAATTACTATCGCGGGAGAAAGAGAAAGCTCCCGTAAAGATTTACAGCCTGGGAAACCCTGTGCAGGCTCACTGTGAGTCGGAACCGACTCCATGGTACTAAACAACAACAATGTAACGGCCCATA